GGCAGCTCGCTGTGCTGCCAGCTTTGGGAGATTGGGGGAGGGGGCTCTGTGCTCGGTGCCACTGCCCTTTTCCTGATCTCTTAGCAGCAGACAAGGCACTGGAGCCAAGGTCTGGTGCAAGCATGGGTGTACATACAGGAGCGCTTCCTCGGCTGTAGGGAGAGAAGCGTGTAGAGACCATGAGAAAGCTGAGGAGCTTCAAGCTTTGGGGATGCAGTCTTTGGGGATGCTTTTGTATTGTGGTACCTGCTCACCAGTTGCGTGCTGTGAGTCATTGCAGAGAGGACATCAGGCCAGATACATGCTAAGAGTTAGAGAAATTAAAAGTGAATGCTGTCTCTCACTCGCGCTTCCTCTGACTGCCTTTATTTCAGGTCCTTGGGAGCTCAGGCAAACTCTACACCTGCTACAGTTCCTGCCATTTCTGCACGTGTCCCGCTTTTGGTTTTACTGTACTGCAGAAGAGCGAGAGCCTTCTGGTAAGTTGTCTGCCTTAGCCTGGGGCCGGGTCAGGGAGCTGGGGAGAAGGCCGTGCTCTGCTCCTTGAACCTGAGCAGCCTGAAGTTTCCAAGGAAGCATGAGTGTTGAGCTGGCCAGGCAGGCTGTGCCTGATCCACTGCATAATCTGGCCTCTGGGAGTTGCGATATTTGGGTGGAGCTAGGCCTTACTAGGGTTAGGGAGGGCTTTTGTTCTTAATTACGCATTACTGTTCTGACTTTCAGGAGATCAGTAATCCCTGGTCTCTTGGAACAAGGGCTATTGCTGCTAATGAGACTGCCACATGGAGTCTGGCTGATGAAGTGGTGCAGTTCACCTGGTGCCAGTGAGGAAGGGCTCAGGGTAACTAATTGGTCTGCAAGTGTCCCCCAGCTCTGTGCCAACCATCCCTCCCTCGTGGGAAGCCCGTCTGTTCCAGGACCTTGGTCAGCTGGGCCTAATACTCTTGTTTTTGAGAGCCATGTGGGCTGCCAGACAGTACCAAGCCGACTCTTGTTCTTTATAGTCTGGATCTACCTTCTCCTGCATGCGTGTGGGGAGCGCATCGGGAGCCAGTTAACGCTTTGCTGTGTGTCAGATCCCTGTATTACATTATCCTGACGGCAGAACTGACCTGGTGCAACTGGAGTGCCAGCCTGTGCCAGGGCTTGGTGTGCCAAGAGGGAACCATGTTCGTGGGAGGGGTGAGCGCTTCATTAGATCCATTCTGGCCAGGATGGATTTTTGTGGCTTCCAGATAGAGCATGACATTCCTGCGTTGCTCCTGCTGTTAACTTGGCTGCGCTATTATTTGCAGTGCAAACATATACTTGCTGTCTACCTCAGTCAGGCCATGGGAGCCTGCCAGGAACTATCTGTCTCTGAGGAGCAGCTCACAAGCATCTTACTGGCTGGGGAAGAGGATGAAGGATGAAGGATTTGGATCACATGTAGATGTGCTTTCTGTGTACCCTCCCGGCGGTGTGGCTGGCATTTTTCATATCTATAAGGCTGTCAAATGTTCATCATGTCTGGTAGTTTTCTTCCTGTGCTGCAGCCAAGTGTGACATTAATTAGCAGCCTTGCACTGATGGATTAATTAATAAATGTTAAGAAGCCTGTGTTGACTTCAGTTTCACTTATTTAGGCTATTCTTGGGATTGCTGAAGATGTTTGAACTAATCTGTAGTATTGTGTGATGTGAGTATACAAACAGTCCAGCAAGTCTCTCAGTGATCCATTAAACCTTGTTAAATCTGCTCATGCTTTGACTAACCCCACCGCCCGTCCAGTGCCTGCATGGCTTTGTGGAGTTGGCCTTTGACAGAGTGATGCTGCAGTGGCTCTTTGCAGCTGGCTGCTCAGAGCAGTTTCTGATTCATTACTGGCAAACCTGTACCAGGGACTGGGGCAGGGACCCCTCAGCACCTCGAGACTGATGACAGGTCAGTGCTTCCGCTGTGCCTACTGTAATACAGGATCTTTGGAAGCATCACTCTGGCTGCTGTGCTTTTAAATTGACCCATTTCAGACAACCACCTGGCGGGCAAGGCAAGGCTGTCCACATCAGACATGGGGGAAAGGAGACTGCTGCTCCCCTGTTCCACACACCAGCCGGTGAGCTGGAAACCAGCTCCTTCCACCTCTGTGACTCCCTGCCTGTGCTCTGAGATTCGGCTCCTCTTTGAGAACAGCATGGCCTCGTAAGACACACCATGTGAACAGAACACCACAAGAAATAATGGGGCGCAGGCTGAGCCAGGTTGTGTAGGTGGTAAATTAAGCATTCTGTATGTAAATAACAGTTACTGCAAATACAAAATCTGAGCAACATGAGGAAAACACATCCATCCTATGTACATCAGAGCAGTAATGAGTGATAGCTGAATAGCTACAGCTGCACTCGCTGCAGAAAGTTCCTTTGCCATTTTCACTTCACATTTTTATAGAAACCTTCAGAGCTTTTTCTTGAGGGGGACGAGAAAGGTGTCCTGTTTTTATTTTGCCTTGAAATGACTTTGGCTCAGATCCATGAAGGCACTTAATGTGCCTAAAGACCACAGTGACCAGGGCCATAGTTAATAATGGCTAACAACCCAATGGCACAGTCATACTAAGGAAACACCACATCTGTCTACAGGAATTCTGGCTCATAAGAGGCATATGAAAGGTAGCAGTAGTGGATGCCGAGCTGCAGTGCAAGCTGTCACATATGGGACCATCTCTCTCTGTATTGCAGTGCTGTGTGTTTCAGTCTGTTCGTGCTGTCCAGAGTTTGGTTCATTTTCAGCCAGCAGGAGGGGAGAGATTACATTCTTTGTTGTAAGGATAAATGTGGCTTGCAACCACTTTGCAACACTGCCAGACCTGCAGGTGAAACCCTGCCTGTTTCCAGCCATCATTAACAGAAGGAACACAGCCAAAGATAATACAGAAGGGAAGGAATGAAAGAAGGAGAGAGTCAAACCCTGCCCAAATGGCAGGACGTGGCTACATGTGTTAGCTGGACTATGACCAAGGCAGATGCAGCAAAGCTGAATGGGACTGTTAAAGGAGAAACACGTGGGACGGTAACTTTTAACTATTCAGCTGCTTCTTGGAAATGCCAGTATCTGAGATACTGAGCTGTAGCTAAATTTGGACATCGCATAAACATGTACAAACCTATTCAGAGCTTACTGGTGGTTCACCAAGGTTTGGGGCTGACTCTTACGGCTGAGCTGCTACACACACGGTAGCGAAATCCATCACTCCTAGTGAGCCATCCTCGGCATGGCGGGCCCTAAGTCATACCTGCAGCTGCTGCCTGCAGGTCATGCCAGCTGGCACAGCAGATGCTGCAGGAACAGGATTTCTTCAAATCAGCTTTTCAGCTGATTTTACACCGTATTTGTCATATACACCAGAGAAATGAAACCCTTGGGTTTCATTATTACCCCCCTTTTAGTGCAATGCAGTTAAAAAAAATAGAAAGCTTTCTACATGATTCAAGTACAATTTATCATCAGGGACAAACTTCTCCAGGCATCACAGTCTGTCCACTGGACCTGTTCTTCAGGAACTGGCTGTGTTTAAACTTCCTTCCCTGCCACCTGGCTCTAAAAGGCCTGCTCCCTATCTCTGCCTGCCTGCATGAGTTACCACTGAAACCCATATTTAATACACATCCTTGCACTCCAGCTTCTCACTGGTCGCATGGTGATGCTGCTGGCACTGAGTGCTTCAGGGAGAGATGGTACCACTTTACCATGTAAGGACCTTTAGGCAAGACTCCCGTTTGTAAGGGGGCCACAACGTGATGGCAGGTCTGAGCTAGTCAAGAACAGCTGTGTCTGTACCACAATTGGCTTTTGGGCATGAAGGAGGGAGGCTGTTTGGTGTTTTTCTGACTCCCCTCCCTGTTCCTCTCAGTTGTGGAAAGAAACTGCCCTGCAAAATAAAAGTCATGCCAGAAACACGGTTCATTTACAGCAGTGCACGTGCCGTCATGCAGTCTGGAGAAGTGGAGCTCGTACTTCAGAAATTAATGCACTGTTCTTTCTACCTTTGTCTAGTTACATATGAAATCAGGTGCAGTAATTACTGAGCTGTGGTTGCAGAGAGTTATTAACTTGCAGTACAAATTAAGACTGCTCCGCTGTTGAGCGGGCTTTGTCCTTACAAAGGGCCAGGACTCGGTGGCTAACTGCAGAGGCCAGGCTAGGCAGTCTGCAAGGTGAGCTTCTTCCCCAAAGAGCTTGGCCAAAATCAGGTCGCAAATCAAGGCATTCTAGCTTCTCAAGCAAATTAGCTCCCTTCCAGTCTCTTTTGCTACTGATGCAGGTCAGGATTAAAAAAAATAAAAAAAATCACTACTAGAAAAAGCGCTCACAGCTTCTGGGGGTTACCGGGGCTGTAGAGGAACCCCAGCAAGACCAAGTTTTAGGAATCAGGTGAGCTGCAGCTGTCACAGCTAAAACCTGCACTTCTGGAAGCACTTCAGGGCTGTCAAGTTTTGACTTGGGAGCAAAAATCTAATTGTAGAGATCAAGTCACCAAGGGGGTGTTTGCACCAACCTCAGGGATTCTGGATCAGACTGGCTAGGATTATTAGGGCACTTCTGCCTTTTGATAGCAGGAAACAAATTTGAAATCAAACCTGAAGCACTGGTCTGCACAATCCTGTAGACCAAAGTGATTTAAAGGCAATAAAACCACTGTTCTAAAACTTCAGTCAACTCTCTTCTAAAATTTTTCTCTTTCAGTAAGTAGGGCTTCCATACTGGGGCCAAAAATAGCTGACCAATTCTGATCTTGTTTTCCTATCAACATGGTCATGTCCCTTAGAGCCTGGAACGCAGATTCAGTTTCACACCAGCAACTGGGCTAAGTAAGACTTTTTCCCATCGGAGAATACTAGCTGCATCAAACAATTGATGGAATAATTAGGGTATTACCAAAGTGCTGTCAAGTATGGACTTAAAGAACAACCCAAAAACAGACACAAAATTATTACTCCTAAATGAATCAAAAGATTAAAAAAAAAAAAAATAATTAAAATAAAGATCCTAGGACTTGACATGAGCAGCACATTTGGGGAAACACCCCCAGCAGGTGGGTCTTCCACAGTCAATGTCTGACCTGGAAAGGAAATACAATACGATCACGCAACCTGGGTTTACAGTCGAGGGTGAGCTGCACTCAGTCTCCCCGGTCGGGTTATTCCTCTAGGAGGCACTATGTTAATTACAAAAATAAAAAAAATACAGCTGCATAACTGCATAGTGGTCATCTCTGAGCACTCCTCTAGGAGTTAGCTGTAACTGTTTCACATAGGCACAGGGAAGGGTAGTGTCAGGGACAGACTGCAAAATCCCAGGAGCAGGACATGCACGGTCATATGGTCACAGAGGCTACTGGAGAATTAATGTTGGTGACAGTCAGGTGCTGGTTGTTGTCAGTGGTGCACTTGGGGAAGTCATCCGTCTTACAGAGGATCTTGGAAATGATCTTGCGGAAGGTGTAGCGGAAGTCCCTGATCCTGTAGGCATAAATGATGGGATTGATGACAGAGTTGGCATGGGAGAGGATGATGGCCACATACATCACCCACTCAGGCTTGGATTTGGAGGACTCCTCGTGGAAGTGAGTGATGCAGTTCAAGATATGCAGGGGCAGCCAACAGAAGGCAAAAAGTCCTACAATGATGGCCAGAGACTTGGCTGCGTGGACCTCCTTCTGCAGTGTGGTCCTGGAGTTGCCCATCAGTTCAATCTGATGCAACTGTTTGCAGGCGACCATGAATATCTTAATGTAGATTCCCAGCATGATAATGAGCGGAAGCAGCACGCAGCCGAAGAAGTTGAAATACACCATGTAGCTCATCGTCACCACGTTCTCAAAGAGGCATGAGATGAAGCAGCCATGGTGCTCTGTCCCGGTGTCAGCCCCTGTCTCGTTGGTGGCATTGGGACAACCGCTCATGGCTTTATTCCAGCCCATAAGCGGAGTCAGTCCAATTCCAAAGGACAGGAGCCACAGCACAGCGATGAGTCCTCTTGCCCGCTTGCCAGTCACCAGACTATTATACCTACAGCATCAAGAACAAAGCCAAGATAGAGCCATTATATAAATGAGCGCTCGTGACTTCCCTACAGTTAAAGTCATCAGCATTTTGGCTAATGCCACAAAAGCCCCACCCACACCCACGCGGGAACCTCACCTCTGTGATCCCCGGAGGGGTAAAAAATCTCACCTGTGCTCTACGCCTACGCAAAGTGATTTGGGGAGGTGATTCACTTGCTATTCCTGAGAGGTGCCAAGCACTGCTCCTGCCCGCGAACATCCTTCAATAGGAGGTGAGGACTTGGAGTCTTAAAAAAGGCTTTATCATTGCCTGAGCCTAAACCACCAACTACAAGGAGGGCAAGAACAGGGGGAAGGCTCACTCTGTAACCACCAACTTGCTCTCTTGCTCTAAGCATCCATTATTGGGCACGCCAGGACACGTTGCTGGGCTACATGAACTTCTGGGCTGACATTACAGCTGAGACAATGCTGGCTCTCAATTCTACACTGTAATGGGTAGCTAAAGACTTAACCAGCACCACCACACACTTACAGCCTTTATACCGCACCGACTTGCTTCAACTTGGGCTGCTCTTATGCCTGCAGCAATGCTGGCTTTCACTGGAGATTGCAGCAGTCAGGTAATGTGATGTCCCTTCCCATGCTACCTCATACACTAAGGTGGGAAGTACACATGTGTGTGGAAACCAGGGATCCTACCAGTTTCCCAAACGGTGCAATTGCTGGTTTACACATGCCAGACTGCAGCCCACGCGAGCTTGTTGTGGCTGGATAACAAATACCCTGAAAGACTTCTCTGAGCCAGCATCTAAAAGCAACTGCTAATGATGGATTGCTTAAGGAGTGTTACAAGTTAGGCTTTGTGTCTCCATTCAGGGCCTTGCATCCAGGCGTGGAGCTGGGAGCCAGGGACACTGGGCTCGTCTTCCCCCATTTGACGTCCCTGCTTTATGCATCCTCCATATGCATAAAGCTGATGCGGGCAGCTTCGCTTAGCTCCCAGGGCTGGTGTTGGCCTCCACTGCTCGTATATGTGACATGCCAATTCTGTAGGACACGCACCATCGAGACGTCCTGAAGCCACACACAGACTCCGACCTGCAGCTGCTGAAGCTGTCGGTGGGGTTAGCAGCCGTGCGTGGCTGCTGCTGTCAAACGATGCTTGTGCTCTGCTGACCGTAGCTGGTTGTAAAGATCTGGATTTGTAAGTAAACACCTTCCTTGGGCTCCTGCTGCTCTCACATGTGTTACAAAGAAGCTCTGCGGTGGCCCAGGGACAAGCTGATGCAGTGTTGAGGGGTGCAGAGCCATGCGCTGCCCCACACCTTTCCCAACTCCACAGACTGGGTGCCTTCATGGCCAAGAAAACGAAGGTTGTGGCTGATGCTCAGAGACACAAACAGGGCTGGAACCTAAAGCAGCAAAAGTCAAGCTGGTTTGGGTGCAACCAGAACAGATGCCAACATCAAAGCATCAGTCGGATTGCTTTTTGGAGATAGGAAGAACTGGCGACTGCCAGAAAGACAACATGAGAAACCCATTACTGTCCTCTCCACAGCCAGTTAGCATCTGCTGGCTGACACACGTCCCCCCCTTCCCACACCCTTCTCTCAGTGCTTGTTTACTCTGGCTTGGCTACCCTGCTCCTCCTTTCCTAAGAACGTTTGTTCTGATTTTCTTCCGGCCCGTGAGGCAGGGGAGGGTTTTATTCCCACAGACCCGCAGCTGTGCCTGTGAATCACACTGCGGTTGCCTCCGTGCGAGCCGTGTGTCCCTCTCCTCCTGCAAGCTACAAAGACAGGAGGGTAAGTGGGGGGTCTGCCAGCACGAACCGGGAGGCAAAGAGGGGCTGGGGGGAACCCTCGGCTCCTTCTGTGCGGCCGCTGCGAGCGGGGCTGGCTTCGGGCACAGCCGGGGCCGGCCGGGAGGATGCGGGAGCAGCAGCCACATTTAGGTGATGCTGAACTGTGAACACACTCCATGGGGTAGATGTCTAAAGGGCAGGTCCAGCCACTGAAGGGTTTCTCCTGCACTTTTCTCTTATTATTATTAAGTCTCGCTGCTTCAGAAAATGAGAAGTTGTCAGACAGGGCACCGCCGAGGCCAAGCCCATTGCTTTCAAAACCGTGTTAAGTGCCTGTTTTCAGCAGCCAGAGCTGGTCTGGGGTTGTAGGGCCTGAAAACTTTTAAGATTTGATTCGGAGCAAGTTCCCAGAAATCTGATCTCTTGGCAAAGTCTGCGTCTCGAGCTATGACGCTGGCCAAGCTTAGTCAGTGCTGCAGGAGCACCAAGAGCTGCTGCTCACCTACAGCTCTGCACGTGGGAAGAAAAAAACCGAGGCTCCTTGGCTATTCACACGTAGTTGATCACTTCAGTTGCTTCTCTGCTGCCTCAGTCATGTCACATCCCAAAAACTATTGTACTGAGACTGGAAGATGCAAAAGGGACCGTTGTTCAGACAGAGAAACTGAAGGAGTCAAGAGTTTTGTGTGTCTGAAGCAGGCTGTGCACAGGAACACAAGGAAAAGCCGCCGTGGCTCAGCGTGCCGTGCTCGCGTGACCACCGCGTCACTCAAGGCTGGTGACATTCGGTGCTGCCTCTTGCTGAAAAGATACGACCCCAAGTAAGGCTTCTTCCATCTGCTCTTCTCCTGAACTCTTCTGCAAATATAAGGCTTGGCTTGAAGGTTTACAAAACCAGTTAAGTAGTCACTTCATTTTCCAGTGGCTGTAACGGTGGCATGTTTATTTTAGTGTTGCTCGCTCTTCCCCAGCACACACAGCAGAGCTGCAGCCAGGATCACGTTTAAGCGGGGGCCCCTTCTGCGAGAAGGAGGAGATGGAAAAACGTGCTGCGCTCCGGGTCTGCAAAAGCCAGAGCTGAGCAATGGAGAGGGCTGCAGGCCTGTCCGGCAGGGAAGAGATGGTGCTCATGAAAGTGGAGACAGTTATTCACAGTGAACCGCTTAGATTAGCTCTTTATTTTTGCGGGGATGCATTGCAAATTCCTCCCAACATCTCTCCGTTCAGTGGATTGATCCCAGGGAACGACGATGGTCGCTGCTGTGACTACAGAGAAGGGTCACAGCTGGTCGCAGAGCTACCAGCCAGGAGAGGCCAAGGTGAAATTGGGGATAGTTCGATGCTCTAAAATTGTTCACTAATTACCTTGTTACTACCTTAATACACTTATTTGGTGGGACACTGCCTTAAGTTAACGGAAGTTAAGCATATGCTTAAAAATAAAGAAATGCTTGACTATTACCAGATTAAGGCACAAGTGTCTCATTAGCGAGCCGCTGCACACAACTGCCACCCCCGTCATAAACCACCATCAAGAAAAGCAGGCATGGGCTGTGAGACAACTCAGACTCAATTTTTTCCTAAGCTCTATAAAACACAATCAGACAGTCAGGAACCAACAGATTTTCACCGCTCTGAATGCTCCAGCAAACCCCTCCTTCATTCTCTTTTAGGCTTAATATTATTAGGCAAAAAAATATTAAAGTAAATTTACTCACCTAAGTCTGCTCAATTAATGTATAACAAATATTGAATCTCCTCTATGTTTCTGCCCAGAGGCATCGAAAGTTGCTTTAATGTAAATAACAGCTGAATACTTTTAAATGATTTATTGAGATTAAATAACCTGGCAATGCATTAGTTCCTTTTACACCACCAGGCAAAGTCTCTTTACCGGCGTTATCATCATCAAGCAGCTAATTATCTCAGGTCCCACCCAGTGGACATGCTGCAGAAGCCCCGATGCCATCCCCGCTGTGCTGCCATCATCAAGCGATTCAGGTTTCTATTCTTCCGACATACATAACTATACGTTTGCCACCAGTGTCACGGTCACACAGCCTGAGTTACGGTAGGTCGAATACTTTAAGGAAAGTTCAGCTGCTTTTACAACATGGCTCTGAGCCACCGGTGTTATCGTACACAAGGGCCAGGCTGCTGGGTCTGTACCTGCCGTGCCGTCACCAAAACGGGCCAGCGGCAGAGGCTTCAAGGCAACACCACCCTTCTGCCCGGCCCCTGTCCCGTGGAGTGAGCAACCACTCTGCTGCTGAGGCTGGAGGAGATGTCCCCTGAGCTGGCCCATGGACCGGAGATGGTCTCCTTCACCCAGCACACATCGCTGTCACCTGTGGCCCCTCCACTTCAGTGATAGCTCAACAAGGTCCATAGCTTTTCTGAAAGACCATCACGGCAACCACCAAAATGATCAAGTTGCCCATTAGCCCAGGGTGCGGGAAGGCTTACCGCATTCTCCAGGCGCTGTGCCTGGGTTGGTAGGATGGTCAGGGTGGGGTTTTTTTCCCAACAGAACTCATTGCATTTCTACTGCTATTTACTAGAGCTGGATAGCAACCAAGCCACCCAGGCAGGCATTGCTAAGCCCAGCTGGAGCAGAGCAGGACGCGTTGCCAGCCTGCAGCCAGCCCAGCCTCTCCTGTACCTGGCATCTCCCCACCGACCCCTGCAGTGACCCCGTGGAGATCACCCAAGCAGAGGCACTGCTGGCCCTGAGCTCCCATCAAATGAGGAGCGTGCAGCAGCAGCCAGGGCTTAATTCGGCATTTGGGGCGATTAGACTTGGGGGAGAAAGCAGCAACAGCCTGGAAGAAATAGTCTGGAAGGGGACTATTATTCCCACATTATGGATCCTTCGAGAGCAGG